AATATTTTAATTATATTTTCAGGGCAGATGATGTAATGAACTCAGACAGTGGTGCTTAGCATTTGAGGAGGGGAGGGTCCACAGCACCTTACAGGGACACCCCATGTCCCTGTGCCTCCCAAGCCATGGCCCCAGGGTGTGCCAGCACATCACCAAAATGAAGTCCTACCCATCATGTAACAGGGACACAAGGACATGCACATTGGATGATAAACTCATCATGCAGTGCTTACATAGGAAGTATATATTTTTTTAATTTGATTGTCTGTCTGTCACTGACTTACTATATTTACATCAGCTTTAAAATTTTGTTTTTCATCAGTTTTCTTAGTGAAACACTTTCTTAGTAGGTAAAACACAATCATAAATAGCTACAGGGAGAGAATTGTGAATTGGCTTGAAGTGGGTGCTGCAAAAGGGAAAAGGCAATACAGGAATACAGAGCATGTGCACGAACAGGCAGGGCACTGTCCAAAGAGCACAAAAGCTTATAGAAAATGACCTTAACAGCTGAATTTTGAACAAAAAACCAGCAAACAAACAGCAAGTGATGATCAGGTAAGGTGAAACACTTTAAGGTTCTTGGAAGGTGAAGTTTCAAGAGCATTTCTGCTGAAAGCAGAGTCCACACGTGCCCACTGTTCATTTCTGCCTGTGCAGGGCCCTGACAGGCAGCCTGGTGCACGTTCTCCTGAGGACATCCAGTGAACAGACTGGATAAAAACCCAGGTTAAAAATACAACCTTCTTTTTGCCCAAGTTATTTTTTTCCCCTAATCTGCTGCCTCCACTTGGTCTCCATGGTTACACAAATACTTCTAGTGGTACCTTTGCTACTGTCATGTGAAGAAGGGTTAGGGAGAATGGAGAAGCCAGCAGAAGGCTGCTGAAGCTGACACGGCTGCAGAAAGGGAAATCTCATCACAGGATGCTCTGAGATTTCACAAACCTTTCCTTTCCAGCAGGTCTGATTTCAGAAGACCCCTCCCCAGTCCCCTCTTCAGCAGTGGCCAGCTGTTTGTGAAAAAAACAGTGTCACCCTCTCCTCCAAGAGAGCCTTGGTGCAGCGGAGAGGATGCAGGGCAGTGCAGACAGGAGGGATTTAGAAGCAGCTCTGCTGCCATGGGAAAAGCCATGGAACACAGAGGCCATTTTCCAGGATACAGATCCTGAAAACTGAGCTGAGTGGAGCTGGCAGAGAACTCATGCAGAAAATGTAATGATGGGGGAGTGAGGAGGGAGAAGGTGCTATTTGTAGTTTGGTGTAAAAGACTCCAAAGAACAGAATGGACAGTGCCATGATTTCTCACTTTTTCTTACAGCATAAAATGGATTATTTTATTATTTATCCAACTACATGGATTCAGCTCCTCTCCAGCATCAGAGAGTACTTGGAGCACAATCTACACCTATTTCTTAACAGAAACAATGTTAATGGACCTCTGGGGAAACTGCCAATGCCAATGGCATGTCTATAAACAGAACTTCTCATATCTTGTTTTTTGAACTATTATATCAGCCCTTTGGATCTATATGCAGAATTGTTTCAGAGTTTGTCTATTATCAGACTTTTAGCTCCAAACTCTTTTTCTGTGGTGCTTCTCAAATCTGAAAGTCTCCCTCCAGCATGCCACGACACAATGACTGCTATCAAATATAAATATAGAAATAAATATAGAATAGATTAGAGCACACAAACATCCCTTATGTATTTGAACAAGGATATATTATTATATGAATTGAAAATTGTATTTAAATGCAGTATATGGGTCTTTATTATTGAAAATTGTATTTCAGCTAGGTTAAGTCAGATAATGAAGATATAAAGAAAAGATAATGAACTAATCTCAACCAATTTTTCCCCTTCCTCAGTCATGAAGGTGCTCCTTGTTCCTTTTACATCCCTTCAGTAGCAATAAAATGGACCTGGCTTCCAACATTTGATTATTACCGAGAAGCTCACAGTGCTCAAGCCCATCAAAAAGTGAAGAAATGCACAGAGTGACTCCTGTGAGATCATTTACTCCCAGTGAAAAGCAATTAATGGATTGCAAGTCATGACTGGCATTCCTGGGAACCATAAAATCAAGTGGGTGGGATCAAAGTGATACGAGATCTCTCCTGCTCCATAACACATGACAGACTGGATTTCACCACTGCTGCCCTCCCTGCTTTACACTGACAGTCCCACTTCCCTCCTCTATTCACTGGTTTACAACACTCTGATATGGGTGCTCTCATTTTCTAACTGTACTTCCAAATGGTGAAAAAATTGACTGGGAAAATGTTTGTCAGGTAATCAGTCACTTTTACTATGCATCCTTCAGTGTTCATGGACCTTTCCAGGCTATTACACACTTCAAAGAAGCTTATGATTACCTCCTCAGGAGCTGGAGGAAAAGCGTGAGATTATTCTTTACTACCTAATTCATTCAAATGGAGTTAACTCATTTTTATAACATTTGCTAAATTGTTTGTCCCAAAAGCAAGAATACGCCTTTACTTTTGTAATGCATGCCTGCAAATGAAAATTACTTCTGCTGTGGAATTGTCTACAGGCCTTGCTAGATGAGTGATTTATGACAGTCCAGACTCAATTGTACCAATGTTAAGTGCACGGTGTCCACAGACTTTAACTCCTGCTGTTTAAAAAATCTGAGAGTTGAATCAGGCATAATTAAACTACAGGCCAAACTACATCATTATTGTATTTGTTTGCACATTTGTCTCTGCTTTTCTGAGTCTGCAAAACAGCTTCTGCAGCCAATTACCTTAACCAGGCACCCAGCCAACCTGCCCAGTGTGTGCCACGATGCCAGGACAGGCCCACACCTTACCCCAGACAGAGCCTGTGGATTCGAAGTCACAAACTGATGAAACCCAAAAGTTCTGCATGTGTTCTCCAAAGAACCAAGAGTGTTTCCCTGCACAAGAGCCTGCAAAGACCCCACCATCAGCCAGCTCTCACTGCACGAGAGCAGCAAGGCAGCACTGCAGAGAAGGATGCCAGGCACTGCTGTATTTGTGTGTTTTTCAGGAGCCATGCTGAGAGGAACACTCGGCATTAATCTTCCAGGCAGTGTGAGTGCAGCCCACACAAAGCCAGTGCCAATCCAAGGCGCTGCAGTGTCCCCATGCTCCTCTCTCCACACCCTCCCTTGTGTTCCCTGCATGCAGAAACCTGCAGCCCCACCACAGCATCAAGTCCTGGCCCTTCCTTGCCAGTTGTTAAATGCAAAAAAGAACCCCAAGAGTCTGTATTGAACACCAGTTCCTATGAATCTATAAAAATGTATCTATCTATCTAATCTATCTTTCTCTACCTGTGAAGGCAGAGGAAATTAATACAGAAAATCAGATGAGACTGTTAATTTCAATGTTGACATTGTATAACAGCATTGTACTAAAATCTTCCTGTGAGTTTTTAAATATCATTGATCCTTTCCCTATCAAATTCCTCTTAAAAAGGCTTTCTTTCTATCAACTTTTAATGGCTTTTTTGATAGTGTCATCAATATAGGCTTTTAAAAATACCGTATGTCACAGAATTGTAATATAAAGCACATATAAAGAGCACATTAAAAAGCAGAAATTACAAAACACAATCACACCCTAAAAGCCATAAATTCAGTGCAAAACCTCATTAATTGTGCAACCGAATTTAAGCATATCTTCTGGGTATATAAATTAATTTTTAGTGCCAGAAAATGGTCTGATAACACTTGAAAGATTGGGAAGTTTCATCCATGAGCATATAAGGACTTGAAATGAAAGCTGAAAAAAGACTTAGCATCTCCATGGTATCCAGAATTGGGTCTGGCTATAACTTCCCAAACTGTAGGAAGAAAAAGAACTAACTTTGCTACCATGGAAACAGAACAGTGGAATATAACTGACTGTTACTTGTCTGCCTTTACAAGACCAATTGCTAAAATGTTAAGGCCTTCAATAACACGGGTAGTTTTGTTTCCACCTGAGAAGTAAATCTGCTGGGAAAGGACCAAGAAGAAGCTCACGGAACAAGGGAGAGCAGCCCAGGAATGACAGGCATTTCAGGGGAAAGTGGGGGATTAGAGAGGAGGAAGGGAGTAAGAGGATGATGGAGAAGGAAGATATCCTGGTGCATGAAGAACACGGAGAGGAAAGGTTTGGTTTCATTAGTGAGACAGAAAAAAAGGCCCTTAAAATGAAGGGCTGGATCCTGGCCGTGCTGCAATAAACCTTATATATAAATTGGGCAACAAATCCTGGATTGGTGTTACCACTTCTACAAACCACGGAGGTCTTTAATTTCTTGACTTACTTTTTCTTTGCTCTTCGCTGGAAAATGCCGCCCTCTTTGGATGTGTCCAACACACCCAACGATTGCCACCGCCTGCATTTTCCTCACAGTTTGTGAGGCTCTGCAACACGAGCCAGTCTTTTATACTTCACTGGGACCATTCCTTCTCCACCCTAAACAAATGTCCAGGTTGTAAAATGCCAGTCTTTTACTTCACTGGGACCATTCCTTCTCTACCCTAAACAAATGTCCAGGTTGTAAAATGCTGGATGTTCTCCTCACGGAACCCCTCATGCTGTCCCTGCCTGCCGCTCAGCTCTGCGGCCCTCACGGCCCCTGAGGGCGCAGTCCCGCCATCAAAGCGCCCCTCAGGCGGCAACCGCGCGCGCTTCCACTTCCCTCAGATCTCTGAGGATGTCACGGGCTTTACGGTGCAGCTTTCTGTGGGGGGATGTGAATGTTCAGAGCTCTTTGATACCTGTTTGAGGACTGTAAGGGAAATTATCGCGTCAGGTGCTGAACGCGAAGCAGAGCCTGTATTTGTTACACTCTGCCGGCTGGAGTGCAGCGCTGGCCGCCCCCTCACGGTACCGCTCCACCGCGGCTGCCCGGGCGCGGGGCCTCGTGAGGGCGGGGCCGCTTTCAGGGGGAGCGGTTCGCCATCTTAGGTGCCCCCGCCCCCTGGCGCCACGTGAGGCGAGCGGCCGCCATCTTAGGCTGCCCGCGCGGCCGGGCGGTCACGTGCGGCGGCGCTGAGGGGACGCGGGGCCGGGGCTGTGCGGCGCCATGGGGCAGTGCGGCATCACCTCCTCCAAGACCGTCCTCGTCTTCCTCAACCTCATCTTCTGGGTGAGTCCGGCGCGCCTCGCCAGCGACGGCGGCTCCGGGCTTCCGGGTCGGAGCCTGGCCCTGAGGGCGCTGCGGGCCTCGCTCAGGAGCCGGGAGCGCCCTCCCCCCTTTCCCACACGGGTTCAGTTCGTATTTAAACTCTTTGCGTTTAACGGGCGCTCTGAGCCCCTCGGCGGGGTGTGGGGGTTCAGTGCTGGCCTCAGTCCCTTCCCTCGCAGTCCTTCCTCCGAGTCCTAGGGTGGGGGGAGCTGAACCTGGCATTGAAGGTTTAAAGAGCATTAGGGATCTTGGGTAGAGGCTCTTGTGTAAGCGAATACAGCTTCTCTCTGTTGCGTTATTGAGCTTCTCAGCTCCCCGGCAGTTCAATTTCTGTAGCCAGTTTAATTTTTGTAGCGCTCTTGTGACCATCTCGGGTTTGACCGTCCCCTGCGGGACATCCCGAGCGCTGAGCGTGGGGCACCGTGTTCCTCCTACTGCTGGTAACATAAAATCAGAGCATACCTCTTCATATATTTGTGCTTCACGTATTCCACTAGCCACGGTAGCGTTGTAGTATTTCTGCATCGCTGAAACCTCCCACAGCGACGGTAAGATAAAAGCTTACGAAAGGGGGACAGTAGGTCGCTATAAATGACCTTTTTCAGGATGGACGTACGGGCTCTCGTTCGGCGTTGCGTTCACTGTAATAATTGACTTGTCAGAACAGCGTAACTCTTAAATAAATAAAAGAATATTCTGTAGATTTTTAAGAATTCCCTTTGTGCATTTAGGTACTGCAATTTTCCTGCTCTGATCCCAGCTCCAGGAACAGAATATCTGTTGTCGCAACTGTTCAGAGATTTCATCTTTGAAAAAGTAATAGTGGGTAACAAGCTGTTGGAACATGAAAGTGTAGCTATATATAGCTGCTTCATTTACTATTGAAAGTCATATAAGATCTTACTAGCATTAGGGGCTGACTGTTCTTGTCTGATTTTTTACAAAGGAATGCTCCTTAAGGGTGCCTGGAAATGAATCATGGTCAGGGAAGATGCATTCTTACCGGCATTTGCCTATACAGCTGTTCTGGGAGAGGAGCAATGCAGGTGAGGCATATTTGGCCTGAAGTGGTGCGGATTAGAAGTCTGCAGTTGTGGCTGAGGTGACCAGGCTTCATTCTTTAAATTAAAAAGTAGTGACATCAGTGTCTCGGTGCAGCCCCAAGGTTGGAATCTGCTTTGTTGGGTGTGGCTTTTTGTTACATGCATAGTTGCAAGTAGCATTTTAAAAGCTCTTTAGCGGCTCGTACGTCATACTTAAAAGTTTTTGACTGGGCACGGTTTTTGAGAGTTGCATTCTTGATGGCACCTTGAAGTACATTTTTCTGTGGTTGCTGATACAGAAGAGGCTTTGTTTGGAGTAAATGAGCACAAGTTCTGTGTGCAGTTTCTCCTCCCCCCCGCTCCAAAGGCAAAGGCTTAGTGATAGTTATTGTTCGTTGTGTGCTGCATTTAGTAATTTAATTGCATGTTGGAGTTTGCAATTATTCATCTCATACAGTGGTGGGGTCAAAGTTATTTTGTAGCGCTGAACTCTCTGCTTTACAATTTTTGATTACTTTTGAGACAAACTTGGCTTAATTTAAAATTGACAGATTGTATTTAGATAAGATGTATTTCGCATCAAATTAAAATGTCATCGGTCTTGTATTCCGTAAACCACCTCCAGCCTAAGAAGTCAGCTTGTGCTGATGGCTTTTTGGCAGATAAGTGACTGGGTTGTTTGTGTTAGAACAACCTTGCAGGTCATCAGCTGCATGTAGAATGAGGCAGACTTTCAGCAAGTGAGAGTTACAGAAACCAGTGGTTTTCCTTTCTTTCACAAGCTAGAGTCAATAGCTCATTTGTTGACTGAGCTGTGTATGTTAGCATTTGGTGCCCATCTAGTTGGCAATGTAAGTGCTTCTATGCTGTTACAGAAATCTTTTGCTTGTCATCCTTACGTAGTTCCAATATTGACAATTAAATCATCCGGATTTCCCAAGACTTGACAATAGACAAATGCCTATAATTGGTCAAGTAACTACGAAATCTCCTTTAATTGCTTTTGTAAGTTTGCTCTCTCTCTTTGAGGTTTCACATGCCAGTTTTTTGTGTTACCACTATCTTCATGGTCACCTGTAGGAGCAACAATTTGTGACTCCACAGTGGATTAGAACTTCCCCCCCCTCGCCCCGTTGGCCTCTTACTTGTGGGAGGATGTGAATGTTCAGAGATTTTATATCTGTCTTATGACTGAGATGTTCAGAAAATTATCAGTGCTGTGAAGAAATAGCAGAGATGTGCTTGATATACTTTGGAGTCTTGTTTCTAACTTCTACAAATTTCTTTCAAGTCTGAAAAAGGCAGATGAGGCTTTGCTGACAGGTGACAGCCACTTACCATCTGCAGCTACTGATTTCACTTCTACAGGTTCATCTCATTTTGAAGAGTCTTGTGCTCCTTGTTAAATCTTAGTTGACACTCTAAAAAGTCATTTATTGTCTTGTGAAAACTTTTCTACTATATAAAATTCTTACATTAATTGTACTTTCCTGCATGTTGGTAATACTACAGGATTTTTATTTTTAAAAGAGAATAGGCTGTGGAAGCTTGTCTAAAAGCATGGCAGGTACTAGTTTATCATGTAGGAAGCTGAAGGGCCTTAAGTCACCTTTCCACATTATTGGTGTGGTATTTTGATTGTTCAGCTGAGTTGTTTTTGCGGGGATGTTGAGCATTGAGTGCATGTTTTCTAGGTGCCCATATTGCCTTTAAAATACAGTTCTGTAAGAAAACAGTATCATGACTGGTAGTCATAAAGAGTATCAGAATGTAAATTTTGTGTGGAACGCGTGCTTGAGTTTTGGATAATTTGTCAAAGAGTGCTGAAGGTCAAAAATACTTTACCAAGAAATGTGTTGATATGAAGTATCAGTTAAAACCTGCCCTCCTCAGACCGGGGAATACTGATCTGATTAATGTGTTTCTTAGCCTCTCGTTTCTATGAGTTAATTCTTGAGTAGATATAACAAATGACAAAGGAAAGCCAATCCTTCAGCTGACCTTTACCTTAAGTTTGCACAAGATTTATTTGGTCAGCTGATGACTTCATTTAGGGGATGCTGAGTCTGTTAAGGAAGGCTATTGAATAGGAGGTAATTGTCATGTGAAAGACAATACAGCTTAGAAATAAAGTAATGTAATTTTAGTACATATATCTTCATAATCAGCAAGATTTTCTTTGTTGCCTTGATGACATGTTGATAATGACTAATTGCAAAGAAAAAAAGTACTTGAAAATAGCATGTTCTTCAGGAAACTTCCTAAATTTAAAGTCTGCATAATTTTCAAAGAGGAAGAAGTTTATTTACCTGGAACAAATGCCTAAAGACTGCTGTCAAATGTGTTTATTTGTGTACTCTTAATTTCAGGCTTCATGGTGCGACTTGCATAATTCAGTTGAAAGCAGCTTGAAGATGAGATGAAGACAAAAATACTAAGAAAATTTTTCAGTCTTAGTTTAGTTCATAGGATAAAATGATAAAATATTCAGAGTTCCATGTGGTCTTGCTCCAGAAAAGGGAATCTGTCTGTTTTATATTCCCAAAGAATCTATGTGCTTTGACAGCCTGCTCTGCTAAAATAGCACCAGATATCCTGTGCTTGCTGAGGTTTTTACCTTTCACCCTCTGTGTCCTTCTCCTTGGGAAAAGGAATGAACTCTGCTTCTACAATACCTTCAAGCCAATAGTTGCAAACTATTTAAGTTGTTGTAGTATTTAGCTGGCCTGAAGTCATTACTTCGAGAGTTCATTTGACTAAGCTGTTATAAAAAACATTCTTGGTATGATTGTTTAGAGAAATCTCAAGTCTCTGCTTCTGTAGAGCACAAATACTTCCTACAGATCTGTGCTCACCACAGTGCAGTGACCAGGGTATGGGAAATGGAGGATTTTCTAGAGGAGCTGCAGCAGTCAGTGTCTCTGTAATGTGTTTGGGGATTTCTGATAGAAAAAAAAAAATAACAAAGAAAATTAAGCAATGGGAAAATTCATTCAAATTTAGTAGTAGAAAGGAAGATTAGAGCTCACTTTCTCTTACACATAGCAATAAATTTCCCCAGTTTATTGGGAGCTTGAGAATAGTTACTGCTCTGGACTTTAAAAGAAACTTCTTGAGAGTTCGTTGGTGATCAAAGACTCTTAACTGATGGATGATCCCAAAGGTAACTTTGCAGGGATTACTTGACCAAAGCCCTTTTGTCTTGAAAGACAGTTGCTTCTGGATGTACAAATGGAATGTTTTCTGGTTCTGCTACTATGATAGTGTGAAGCAAGTGTATCCTTCAGGATTGTGTAATGGTTTGGAATCCTGTGCATTAAAAAAATTTGTTCTTTTAATTTAAAAAAATAGGATTTAAAACTCTCAAGTGGTGTGCCCTCTAAGTGATTTTTCTTACAAGATTTGAATATGAATTTTCAGATAGCAAACAAGTGCCAGGTCCTGAATTTTAGTAATAAATGTTGTGATTCACTTCTAAGCAGCCTGGTAGTGTCATTCATGTTTCTTTACAGGATGCGTTTCAGATCTTTGCCTGGGATTTTTCAGGATTTTTGGTATCTGGTCTTGAGCTTAAAAGATAGAATACCGAACAAAACCACGTTTCAAACCTAAATGTGATACCTTTGAATAGTACAAGGAATTTGTAATATCACTTTACCTGGTGTACTTTGAAGCACAGAGTGATCATCATTGTTCTGCAGAGCAAGGAATCTCGAACAGCAGAGCCCCAGCTCAAGTTACAGCCCTGGTGGCTAAATAGGTGTAAAAGAAAGGCTGTATTGTTAACTTGGCTTCTGAAGAGGTAAAGGCTGCAGATGCACTACACCTTGCAATTAGTGGCACTTCAGATATGTAATCCCAATGCAAAAGCAGCCTAGCTCAGCCTTTTGCTTTAGTCCCAAAAGCCTTTGAGGTGTT